GAAAGGAAAATGAAACGTGGGGAAGAAAGTAACATTTTAGACCTGCGGCTGCCGCAGGCGAGGTTGCAAATGATGTGGAAAAAAATTAACTTTTGTGCCTTGGTCCTGGTGCTCATATACCCGGAAACTAAATATTATAGCTAGCTAGTATAGCTACCTCTTATTTATTGTAAATACATAAGTCTACAGGACAGTTCGAGTAATGTTATTCCCGATCGTTTCTGTGTTCATCTGAATCCATTTTCAGTTATTATAAGTTTTTTTTTTTAAAATCCTTATTTATTGAGCTGAATTTTATTATTGTACAATTACTGTAGTATAGCAACTTTTTTACAATAGTGAGGGGAGAAGTTCAATGGAAAATGGAAGGAAGGTCCGGGGGTGACCATGCTACTTACTACCGGGACTCGAACCCGGACCGGCAGTGCTACGGGTTCCAGTGTTTGTCGTCTCAACCAGTTATTATAAGTAACTTTCATAATAATACCAAAACGATTAATATATACATAAATAAGTCTGTTTGGATTGTTTAAAAGATTTATATAGAAGCTTATGGGTGCAGAGGAAAGGTACACACATGTTCCTTGGAAGAACTATAAGTACATAAGCAAAAAAAAAAAAAAATATTTTTGGGTTTTATTTTAGTATTATTATTTATTTTGAGTATTAAACTTCTCAAAAGTTCTATACAAGTAGTACTGAAAAATATTAAAAAATATTATTTGTGTCAGAAATGCATTAGTTCGCACATTTTCTGCTTTAAATTGTATGCTAAATATGGTTGTTGTATTAATAAAGATTTAGTTAAAGTACATATATCGCTCGAACCGAATAGGCAAAACTCGAACGATAATTAGAGAATTTTTAAATTAAATTTTATATTCTTTATTGGTTTTTTTTTACTTTATAAATATACATCCTTATTTTATGAATCCTGAAAAGAAACTTGCTTCGTGGAATTTAAGACGGGGGCCACAGAAAAACGCGTTTGTCTTTTAACTTGAAGCACAAGGCTTAACGGGTATCTATCTACGTAATAAAAAGGTTTCAATGTCTTCCGTACTAGTTTTTTGTTCTTCTCATTTTAATTTGAATGTTTTGAGTTTGTTAGATAAATGTGTGGCCTCCCTGGGGATTCAAGTATCGTACAATTTACTGCCTTGTTTGAATATCCCCTTCAGGGACACGTTTAATTCAGCCATATGTTCAAGGACCAATTCGGGATCGCGAGGCCAGTGAATGGCCGCAAAAGCCACCAGAAACACGATGACATATTGCACAAAGACCGCCGCCCAAATGGGTTACTTATCGCACTGGAAGCCGCCGCCGCCGCCGCCGCTGGGAAGGATGAGCTGCCGGCAGGACTCTATTTATCGGAGCGTTATCTTTCCGCTGCCGGTGCTCAGCAAACCGCGAAATCGAATCCATAGATCAAGCGAACGAGTGAAAAAATAAAACTGATTTAACTCGCGCTGATAAATGAAAGGCAGCCCAAATGTTTGCAATTGCTTTGACATGTTTGACAACAATGGAGGACGAAGGCGGACGGAGGACCGAGGACGGCGGACGACGGCCTTAAGCCGCTGACAAATGCGATTGCCCATAGAAATGGAGGAACACAGCCCGCGAGCGGACTGCAGCAACCCTTAAGCCGAGCAAGGCGCGGTCCTGGTCCGGGCATTTGCATTGATTTCAATTAATTTGCTTGTTGTGTCGCCCGATCCCTTGGCCGGGCTCTTCAGATTGCGTGATTGTAATTGATATTTGGTATGGTTGGGCTTTCCGGCTGGTGCGAGTCAAGTGCCTTCAACCCCGCCGAGTCAACCCATCTCCGCCGCTGGGAATTATGTAAATGCCAAACATGCATTAGAGCCCAAAGGACGCCCTTGCCTCACCTCTTGCCTCTAAGCCCGGCCCGGAATTATTCAGTCAGCCAACTTCTGCGTCGTCTTCGCTCAGCTGTGCGAATTTTCCCGGCTGCAGAGGATGCGCCGGGGTGACAACAGCTAACTGTCACTGTCAGGCGGGACAACAAGGTGTTTTTTGGGCTCTGGGTCCAGCCCTGCAGAGTCCTCGGCCTTGTCTTCCTCCGGCGCGGATGAGTCAGCGGCATTTGTATTCGGATTCGCACTCGAATTTCCCCATTTGCTTTTAGTTTTGTGAATTTCAAATGCCAGGACATCTGTTCAAGTGTCTCAGGGATCAGTCCCAATCCCCATGCGCGGCTAATGCGCTTAGTTTGGGGTAGCTGCTGAGTGGCAAGAAACTTACTATATAGAGCCGTGATTCCTGGCCACACTTTCGGCCCGCTTCCTTCCCCAGTCCAGAGCCCGAGCACTTAACTCCACCATAATTGCCGCAATTTGAATGCCTAATTTAAAAGCATTTAAAGGGTGTGACTATTATTAGTTGGCCCTGATTGAGGCGTGCGTGCGAGTGTGAAGCGGAGCCATCAGGCTGTCGTGAAATGTTAATGAGGATCAATAGCCGGATTTAGGAGGTCCTCAAATATTTATAGGGCCTGTTCGCATTTATTTATAAAATGTTGTCAGCATGGGCAAAGCGGTTTAAAAAGTTTCGCCCTCGCAGGGATTTATTTTTTACAAACTTTTACCGAAACTTTCCTTGGCTTCCATTTTGGGTTCGCTGTTAATTGTTAATTGGCTGCATCGATTGTTAATTGTGCGCGTTGTTGTTGGTGGAGGAGACCTGATTGGGGCATTGTGAGTGAAAAGTTTCGAGTGCTTTCGTCTGGCCAAAGTTTGCGGCGAAACAAAGGGAGCTTCGATTGCGGATTGATTGGTTGGTGAATTAATTGCGAGGATTGCGCAAGATTACATAATCCCCCATGGCCGTTCGTCCCCCATCCCCCTCGCTGCTTTCCGGCTAAACTTGAAGTTCTCTCTCCTTGGCTGCACGCAAGCTGTGCCCCACTTCTGCTTTAAAATGGGCCGTCGATAATCCTGAAAAATAGAATCCTATTCGGCACGGCATTCCCCAGTGCCATCGCAGTCCCCCAACAGCAGACCCAATTCCATTTTAAATTCTCCATTCTGCATTTTCGTTTCCAGCCATTTTTATTTATTCTCCCTTCAACAAAATTTGGCAAATTTACACTTTGCCACTAGCAACAACATAACGCACATCAACGAGCCCCACTCCGGGCACCCTACTGGGAACACATCCCCCAATTCCAATTCCAATTCCAATTCCATAGACACCCCGGCCATTTGCAGGGCGGCTTGATTGCGCCATGGCCACATAAATAAGGGCAACATTCAATGCAAATTGGACTATTTACGCAAATTTTATTGCCGCACAATTTTTACACATTTATTTTGTTTTTGTTGCCGCTAGTTTTCCTTTGCGAATGCTTTATTCCTTTGTTGTTGCTAATATTTTGCCGCCTCTGCGGAGATGGAGATGATGCCCCAAGTGCCCTCTAAATCAGGCCATTTGGAGTTTGTTTCCTTGACTTTCACTCGGGGGCGCAAATTTGGCTCCATTGTTGTGGGCCTCGTCCCTCGTCGACCCGGCCTGAACCCCTTCTGCATCGTCGAATTATGCGATTTCATGTCATTATTTCCTCGCTAAACGGGCGACTTTCCCCCCATTCCCCATCGGAAATCCTCGGGCGGCCGAATGTGATTTTTATTGACATTTAGACGCGACGCAGATTTGTCCCGGCCTCAACGAGTTGATTCCAGTTGGCTTGGCCGTGTCATAAAGCCGCCTTCGGTGGGGATTTACCAATAAATTCGTTCTAGTGAAAATTTATGGGCATTGCTTTTTAAACCGCGACGCGTGTTTCCCCCCACAATTTTTATTGCAGGGAAATTGACATTGAAGGCTGTCTTCGATCCAATGGAACTGACCTTTAAAGAGGAAGATGTTTGCTCACAATTTCGATAGGGTAATTGAGCGTAGGCGATTGAGTCACAACAATGTGAAAGCATTTGGGTCTATGAATACGGTTGACTCCAATTCTTGACTAAAATATCAGCTATATTTGTTTTTCTCGGGAAGCATTTCCTTTATATTTAATCAGCTATCTTCAAAGGCAAGGATATACGTATATACACATTAAAAGGAGTTAAGTAGAAACATTTGAAAGTGGCACTCTACTGAAGAAATAATTCAACACACACATCCCGCATTCAGAAACCCCTTTAAACATCCCACACTTACACACACACACACCCAGGAGCAGACAAAAGGGCCGAATTAACTGAGTTATTAGCTCGTTATCTTTTGCACTTAATATTTACACAGTCGGCTACCAAAAGCTGAACAAATCAGTGTGAAAGCCAACCGAAAGCCGAAAGCTGAAAGCCAGAAAGAAGACCAACACCCTTCCGTTCCAGCCAGAGTTTACCCCTAATTTTGTCGCTTGTGTTGTTTAAAATTCAAACAATGTGTTGATGCCTTCACACCAACCAAAACATGCATAATTAATATGCAAAAAGCAGCAGCAACAACAACGAAAGAGCAGCCGGAAAGGAGAAACTTTTCCGAGCGGGCTGCTTGTGGAAAATTGAAAGGGTTAGCGTCATTTTTTGCGGCCATCGGCCGGGGGCTCAGGAGGAGGAGGAGGGCAGGTTCAGGAGCCGAGGCGACACTTTGCCTTCTGCCAGCTTCATTATCACAGCTTTCGCGTCAACGCTGTTTCCGCAGCAACAGCAACAACAGCTCACGGGGGGTGGGCAGAGCCAAGTTGTTGTTTTTGGTACTGGCATGCATAATTCATATGAGAAAAGCAACAATAGGCGGAGGAAAGTGAAAACCTCACCGCACAGATGACAGCGAAATGCTTTAATTGAGGCGAGCACATATGCAGAGGCCTCATTTGCATATTTCGATGTATGCAATTAGGCGTAAGTGTCGCAGAGGATGGGCAGAGCAGGCAGTACCATGAAAACGGGAAGAGAGTTCAGCTCCTTTTCAGGCACTCTTATGCACCAAGCTAATGCTGTTCTGATCCCTTCGTCTTCTCCTTTCAGCCAAATCTCGTCACTTTACGGTGAACGGGCTCAGTGCCAATAACACGCTCCAGCAGCAGCAGCAGCAGCAGCAATTTAACCTGCAGCCATCGAATGACAGTCGCAATATCTACAACAACCCCTACATTCCGCCGCAGCAGCAGCAGCAGCAACCACTGCAGCAGACACAGACGCAGCAGCAGCGCACTGCACACCTTTTCAAGGCCCTGGCTGCCTCCGCTGCCGGAAGCAACAGCCTCACCCATCCCTACGACTTCTCCACCTCGTCGTCCTCCTCCAACGCCAACAATGACCACCAGGGATCATCGTCTTCGGAAGCGGAGAACGCCTTTCTAACTCATAATAACGGTAAGTGGGACATCAAAACCTTACAATTTGTATATTTGCTAACAAGCTTCTAGTAGCTTGGATTAGATTCAATTTTTATTTGTACATTCCAATCGGGCAACAAATCCTATGAATTCTCCAATTAATCAACCGCTTTTGTGTACTTCCCTCGCCGATTTGGGGGCTCTGATGAGAGATAAAGGATCCCCAAGGAACTCGGATGCACAAACTGCACGGATACAAATTGAATTAAGACTCGAGCAATTAAAAACACAACTTTCCGGGGTTCCCAGGTAATATTTCCTCTTCTTGGGCCCTCGCAATGAATCAGAGGAGCAGCGGAAGAGGGGCCACTTGTTCACCTGCCGGTTGACTGCCAGCTTGGCATAATTTGCACGCAATTTGCATTTCAAGTGGCCAATTCCCATCCCTTCCCATCCTTCCGCCTCGCCTCAAGTTGGCCAGTAGCCGGTCTTACCTTCTAATTACGTCTCGCAAAGAGTGCCCAAAGAGTGCTCGGGGCTCGTAGCTCAGAGCTCAGAGCTCAGAGCCCGAAAAGAGGCTCAAACTTAGCACCCAGTCCGGCGCCAGTAAGTGAAATTTATGTGAGTGCTTATAATTTGTAAAAGTAAACGAACCGGAGAGACCAGACCAGGACCAGAACCAGGACCAGGGCCGGGCAAGAGGTAAATGAGAGTTTGTTTAGCAACAAATTATGCCGGACGCTTGGGAAAGGTGTGCGGTCCCGAGATTTATGTGGGGGCAGTTAGCAGCAAAGGGAAGATGGGAAGATGGGTCTAGGGGCAGCGGATCAGTGGGGATCCTGCGTGATTATCGAAGTTGAATTGAAACGCAGCAGACTCGGATTCAGTTTCCACTCCGGACGCTTGACTGGCCGCAGATTAAAGCCATCCCAATGTGGGAGGAGACTGGCTTTGGCATCGAGCACCGACATCAAATCAGGACTCTGCCTTTTCCGAGCCATTGTTGGCTTCCTTCTTGGGGCTGGCCATAAAATGTGGCAAAGTGCAATTGCCTGACAGGCCAGAGATGGGCCGTAGGTCGAGCAGACGCCGCCAGTTATGCAATAAAAATCATTAAAAAATATATAAAAATGAAAGCGGCAAACTTAACAAGGATCCGCCACCCGGCGAAGGACGATGCTGATGAAGCCATGAGACAGGAATTGAAAAACCCTCGCAGACGCGGCAAGATGCATCGTTGTAGTAGCCAGGAACAAGTAACAAGTAACAGGAAACTAAACGAGCGCCCAGCGCCATAAACTTAAATCACGATTAAAAGTGTGATTATCCTTGTGGCGCTACAAATCGCCGCCGCTGCAGCTGACAACCCGGAGGACTAGGACGCAGCCAGAGCCTGTCCTTGGGCATCTCGCCGCTCCTTTTGCCGTGCTTCTTCTGTTGTAGTTCTGTGTGGTTGTTCTTGCAAATGTCTGATTTTATATCTTTACAACCCGGCGCGGCTGTGGATGAGCATACAGAGTCGCTTTCGACGTCCTGACCCCGTCCTCCTCCCAGAAGAGAGTTCGTTCTGCTGTTGTTTGTCGGATGCTTGGTTCTGTTTTGCTTTGACTTTTGTGTGGCCTGGGGCCGAGTTGTTAGACTCCAGGATATCAGCCTAGATGTAGGCGAGATGCCGGCAGCTAACTATGAAAAAACGCAGTCTAACTTTATATGACTCAATAGCTGTTGGTTCTTAAAGAGCCTTCCACTACGAGAATAATACTCAACTTTTGTGTATAATACAAATAAGTAGAACTGAGTTATACTATTTATTATTCAGAATATGTGGATAAAAAAACGAAATTAGTAGTTTAAACTATTGATGCATTGAAAATATTAAGGCGAGCTTTTCATCACTAGGTTTATGGTTAGAAAGAATAAAGAATGTGTTTCTTGTAGGACAGAGTGCTATTCTCTTTGCTTGAAGCTAACAGGTGTGCCTAACTAGACTTTAAGAAAACCCTTTAAGAAAAAACTAACGTTTGTTACCCTTATAGTTATAAATCTTGGACACTGTTATTAGACTTAAAAAAAAATGTAATATTTATCCCACATTGATTTTAAATCTGTCCTATGACCAATTTTAGGAGTCTATGGCAAACATAGGTACTTCAGAAATAATTTAAAATTTAATCTCAGAGTAGATGGAAATATGTTGAAACAATAAAACTATGAGCTTCTTCCCTAAACTTTCCAATAATGTTTTAACACTCGGGTGTAAATGCTGTTCAACAAGAATGTATACTCGATAGAGTCCGAAATGGCCACTTCATGCGTTTTAAACTTCTGGCTAAAGTTATTCTTCTGGTTGCCAGAGGAATAATAACAACAAAAACAAAAAAAGAAGCTAACTTCGGAACGCCGAAGTTTATATACCCATGCAGATTAAACTTCGATGACTAGGAATCCATACAATGTACATTATTATATTTATGTTAAAAAACAATGAAGTAATTCATGCTTTCATTTCAATCACCTATACATATTATATTTGCAGTTTTTAATTTACAGATTTGCATATTTCCTCCACATCTAACGATAGTTTTTATGGCACATATAAAAATTAAACGTCCGATTTTCATAAAATTTTCAATAAAATTTTAGAATAATATTAAATGGCCATATCTCAAATTTGATGGAAATCTGTTGAAAACTGAAAAAGTTCAAATTTTTAATTGTATTAATTTCTCGATCGTCCCTATGGGAGCTATATGTTACAGTAGTCCGAATTTCATAAAATATTACACAAAATTGTAAAGTAATATAAAATGGATATATCTCGCATTTGATTAAATTCTGTTGAAAACTGAAAATGTTATAATTATTTTGAAAAATTATCCGATCATTCCTATCATTTATGATATAGTCTTGCGATCCGACCAGTTCCGACATATATACGAGTGAGAGTATATAAAAGACTAACTATGTACAAAGGTTCATTCAGATATCTTCAAAACTGAGACTAGTTTGCGTAGAAACGGACAAACGGGCATGGCTAGATCGACTCGGATGTTGATCCTGATCAAGAATATGGTTGGATGTGTCTCCTTCACTGCGTTGCAAACTTTTGACTGAAATTATAATACACTGCATGGGTATAAAAAACCTTTAAAGAGGGGAGATATAGTATTACTATTAATTTGCGTTAAAATATTTTATAATTGAGAACGCTTTTAAATTTTGTAAATTAAATAATTTGTTTGCTGAATTTAACAATTCAGCCGAGAAAAAGGAAGCCGTTCAATAATTATCAAATATTTAAGTCGGAACTTAGCAGAAGGCAAATTTGTCATTTCCACCCATATAAGGAATATATTTATAGTCTTCTTCAGCATCAACAGCCCTATGCCAATGTTCAGTATATTTACATATATACATACTTCATGTATTCATAAATTCAACGTAAACGTTGATTGATCAGATTCCAATTCAATCGAATAAACTCTAATTTCAAACTGTAAAAGGATGCAATCTAATTATTATAAAATTATTATTATACAATTAAATGAAAATATACAAATATACACAAATAAACTCATATATTTAGTTTTTAATAATTTAAAGCTAATGTTTATAATGTTATCGATTAATCACCACACTTTCATTCAGATCATAGGATCGAGCTTTAAGTTATCAGGGTATACAAATTTGATTATTAGAGGTATATTCCATATTATTCAGAGTTGCGCCAACCCTTATAAAATATAATAGCAGTCTGTAGCGAAATTTTTAACTGGGTTTTTTAAGACAATGAAAATCTCAGTTGCATACATTCAACGCTTTAAACAACACGACAAGCCATAAAGGCTTGATCAAAAGGATGTTTATTTCTATTTCGGTAATTTAGCTATATTACATTATTTTCCGCTCTTGAGTAGATTCTGAATTAAGTGTTACATTTACATATATTATATACTTTTTTTTCGCTAACCTTTGCAAAGCTTTGCAAACATTTTGTTTGATACTTTTGAGAAGAAGAACTGACTTTACATGGCATGGCTTCTACCTTGTGAAAATGTTTTTAAGCTTTACGATTTTAACCGGGGTCGAACTCCAAATCGCTTTGTGAAAAGGATATGTAAAACATACATACGTACACAGAATGCCGACTAAAAACAGGACGGAATTAAGTCCTCTCTTTCTATATAAAATCTGGGCATTATTTCCAGATCACATTGTAAATAACACAAGCTGAGATTGGTCCTTCGCATATGTCCAGAATGCTGTCCATCAATTGTCGAAGGGATCCGCCCCTAAACTGTCAATTGTTTGATAGATATTTGCCAATTTTACAGTCGTCCTGGCCTTTCGGCTCGCTCTGTTCGTCCTGCCTCGATTTCACTGCAAACACAAACAAAGCCGAATGCAAATAAACGCCGCCCAGAAGTGGGCCTGAAACAAAGGAGCAGTCAGGGTGGCTCGGGCTTTCGGCTTATCACAATTGACCCATCACACGACTACGGCCTAGTCTCTGTCTGGACATTGGTTTAGGGCTCCCCCTTCCTTTACCCTTCCGCTTGGCCCTTCCGCTCCCAGCCTTTGAGCCGAACAATTGACTCTCGTATTTCACTGATGAACTTAACTTATGTCAAAATATGCGATAAGTAATCCTTTTTAGCCCCGACATTCGGCTTCCTGTGTGGGTCTCAGACCGATGTACACTTGTCGGCCTGACCAGAGTCCTCGGACCTTTCGCCTGTGCAAATATTTTCTTTCCAGCGATAATTCCGGGCCGGGGCTGACGGAGTTGGGTCTTACGGCTGATGGAAATAGCCATTTCTGTACATTTGTCACGAAATCTAAAACAAAAAGTTTATTTATGTTTTCATTTGCCCAGAAATGAGGGCTCGTAATGAATTGTGATAGAGGAGTGACAGAAGGGGAGAAAGTGGTCAAGATTTGACTTTGTTTGAGTTTCATTTGCCCCGAATCAGGGACAGAAGAGCACTGAGCGAAGTGTATGGCTGAGGAAAGTCCTTTCGTCTTGGTGATGTCCCAACTCTCCGACCCTTCCTCCCAGTGTACTCCACTTTTGATTGAGACAATTTCAT